GGGGCAGGGCCCTGAGCAGGGCCCCAGAGGGACGGGACCCTGATCCCCACCCAACCCCTCCCTCCACTGCTGCAGCCTCCCGCCGTGATCCCATGATGCACCCACCACCTCCACCACCACGTGGGCCGCAGAGCAGGAGCCACGTAAAATGCACTGTTCTGGTAAATAGTGAATCGAATAAATGGGACAATGTTCATGATACACTGTGAGGGAAACAGTAACTGACAAAGGGTACAAGGCAGGAGCGTGTGCAATAGTCACATTCCATACAGATGTGATTGCAGGTACACACCCTCCGGTGCAGCACACACACACACACACACACACACACACACACACACACACACCTCTGCTCCCCCAAAGAAGACTATCAAGCAAAATACCAAAATGATAAGACTGCTTTGGGCTTTCTATCAGTGTGGTTTCTCTAATTATCTCTGTTAGTTTCTGTATTGTCTGGGTTGAAAGAAACATGAGTCACTTTAGCGGTAAAATGCTGTATGAAAGCTGTGAACAATAATGTACATGCTGTACCCTCCCATTTTACGTAAAGCACGGAGCCATGCAGGGTGATGCTGCTTAAAGTCGTGGTTGTATTTGGGGAGAGGCAGATAATGATGTAATTGGTGTGTCCGCTTCATAGAAACTCATGAATATGTATTTATGCCAGGGACTCTTTTCATGGTGGAAAACATACTTCAATAAAGACTTTCAAAAACAGTATCTGAAAGGCTCCTCTACCTGAAAATACAACACATTTTTCAAGCCAAAAAAGGTCTACATTTAATCATTCTGGGGGTTTTTAACATTGACTAGTTATTAACAATCCCCTGACTTAAATTAATTTGACCAATCAGTTTGTTTTTAGGTCAAAGCCTTAGTTAGAACATGAAAATGTCACATTTAAAAATGACTAATTACCAAGGCTTTGCTAAACATAGCCACTAGGTGGCAGTAAAGAATTATATGAACATAACAACAGACCAATTTACCTACAGAAGTCAGTAACAAAACTGTTAAATTTGCCCTAACCAGTTTGGCTCAGTGAATAGAGCATCGGCATGGGGACTCAAGGGTCCCAGGTTTGATTTCGGTCAAGGGCATGTACCTTGGTTGTGGGCACATACCCAGTGGGGAGTGTGCAGGAGGCAGCTGATCAATGTTTCTAACTCTCTATCCCTCTCCCTTCCTCTCTGTAAAAAATCAATAAAATATAGTTTTAAAAAAACTGTTAAGTTTGTAACCATTCAAAATAGAAGGTAAGGATAGAACAAAGTCTTGATAGAACAAAATTTTCCAAATAATGGACAAACTTTGGGGAGAAAATCCTGATGCAGAATATCAATACCCTGAGTCTTCACCAAAAGCAATGTCTCGGCCTTATGCATTCATATATTTACAGGTAGGGAGGCCAGGGGTCTGTGTTTGCATCAAAAGTTCCGTGTCCCCAGGGGACCTCTCAGTCTTGGGAACATGGAGACAGTCATTCACCCAGTTTATAGTCATCATTCATTCCAAGGAGCATCCGTTCATCATCAGTCTCACTTAAAACATTTCCCCATAGCAGTATCACCACATTAGTTTCCCAAACTATTCCAAAAAAACGTCTGTAATGCACAATATTCAACAATATCTCTCAGGTTTACCGAGTCCCAGTGGAATGTGTACTAGAGTAGAAACACAAGATTTGGCCACTATTATTAACCGTAACTCATACTGTGTGAGCTAGAGAAAGCCACCCTCCTTCTGTGAGCTTCAGTTGGTATCACAAAATTGAAAACTAGAGAAGTGCTTGTCAAGCCATGGGGAGAGGGGTACTGGATGTCTATGAATTTTATTTTTAACTGTGGGTTCGTGCTGATGGTAATCCATCTATCTATCTACCTATCTATCTATCTATCATCTTCGGTGCCATTTGGAATGACCACCTTATAATCCATTGCTGTCAATCTCAAGTGTGCATTGGTATTTATGAGGCCTACTTCATACCATTGCAATAATAGTTAAGTGGTGCACTCATGCCAAATAAAGTCAAGTGACCCAAAATGACGACTTTGGAGCAGCGTGGTCAGAAGGGGAAAACAAGTTGAGTCATAACAATGTATTTGGAGCTTTATTTACCATGCCAAATTCCAACATCCATGACAAGTCAGGGTCGTCACCTACATACACCTGCCCACGACATGGTTCCCTACTGGGGCCCTTGATGTCTCTCCCCAGCATGTCCAAATTATTTGTCATTCATCATGCTCCACACCCATCGTGCCACAGAGGAAGTCAAAGTGGACTTGAGAAACAATAGCAAGTCCAAGCCCTCTGGCTTTCACTGGCTCCCCACCCCCATGGAACCTGGAACTCCCAGAGGGCTCTCCTGAAATTCTGATGGTCTGTTTCTCACTTCATACTCTATTTTGTCTTTATTTTTACCTATGCTCAATTTCTCTAAAAAGAGATGAAAATTGCTTCTTTGTCAATTTTGCATAACACGGGGGCCTCTGACCTGTGGTGGGTTCTCTGTGAAGGTGCTTTCAGAGACTGGACTTTGTTTCATTTGGTCCATTTAGAAGATTAGCCATAGGTCTGGAGTGTCCAAGTCAGAAACTGTCTTTGATCCTTTATTGAATAAACGCCTTCACTTACAAGATCATCAATCAGTAAAATGAGTTGCAATATGACACTGAATTTCAATGCAGCCTGCAGTATTTCAAAAGACCCACATTTCTGCTGATCAATTATGGATCCAATTAAAATGAAAGCATTGGTCATTTTTTAAAAAACTGTGCTAAACAGAATTCTGGAATAGAATTCAGCAACTGTCAAAGCTGATTTTTAGACCCATGCCACATTGTAATTTTTACTTGTAAATTAAGCATGGAAAATTCAGATGCCTACCTGGGCAGGCAGGAAGCAGGAAGGCAAGGAGTGTGGCAGAGACCTGTGGGAGCTAAAGGTGGAAGGTGGGGGTGGGGCAAATGCCCTGCAGCTCTAGCAGGTGACCCCAAGATGGCAGACCAGTACTGCCAGATCTTCCCCCAAATCTGGAAATCTGCATTCTTATGTAAAAATCTCCCATTTTAAATATTAGCAACTATTCAAAGACACAAGAAACTTTAAATACCAGGAAAAACAACTGGCTTCCATTTGTAATCTCTAATTTGAAACTTCTATCTCTAAACACAAAAGCTATCAAAACATGTACTTTTTTATGCAGTACAATAAAATCTCTTGAAATGTTTAACAGAAGATAAACATATTACTTTTACGGCAAATTAGCATTATATCTTCTGTATTTTGTAATGGACAGACCAATTTTGTCATGTATACACTTAAAAGTAAAGACTTAAAACTTTTAAGGAATAAGGCCACACCTTTGAAACCCGTAGTAATTTTTTTTTGTACCAGTTTCTACTGGCTTAATGAAATTAGCCAGTGAAAGCCAAATCAATGTTTTCGGTCTCTATCTGATCTCTTATTTTTTTAAAGATAATTTTTAAGTTTAAAATTTAAATAACTACCCTTCTCATTCACGTTAAGAAAATCTCATGATTTTCACACAGGCTAGTTCAATTTCTCTTCTGGAACCCTGTGGCCTCCAAGCCAGGAACGGACAGTCACATCCTTATGAAAAATGAACTTTGGAAAATGGCCATCTTCCTGAAAAGTGACCGGGATTCCATTTTCACCAGGGTACTTGGCAAGAGCTGACTTATCACACTCAGAAACCTAGACACGTGCTGGAGAAATACAGGCCTCGGTGCTCCCTTTGGTTGTCTATAACCGTCCTTGAAATTCGGAAAAATGCAGTGGCGACAAGTACAAGGGAAAGAAAGAAGGGAAAACTTGACTTTGTCCGCCGCAAGGCACATCTGCTTCAACAGTTTGCAGGGAGAGGTGGGAATTCCATCTCTGGCTGGTGGTCACACAGACTGACGTAAACACATGTCGGTGTGTGTGGAATTGTAGATGCGCGGCTGCCTTTGTGAAAACCCACACACAGGGAGAAGCTCACCACATATAGTCCATATTACTAGGGGTGCCTTCTCCTTGACACCTATCCCTTTCTCAATTAAAAAAGAAAAAAAATCCTAATTTTTTTAATAAAAAAATGGGTGGATGAAAAATTAGAGCACTCGAGACTAATTTACACACCAACTCCATTTTTAATTGTGACACTTCCTATAGAGACACAAATAGAATTGAACTTGATCAAAGGCAAGTGAACGACCATGCCGGGGTTTCTGAATTTAAAAAAAAAGTCACATATAAAGATCAATTATCAACAGTACCCGTCTCTGCTGAGGCCATGTAGGCCTGCGGCTAACAGCGGCTTCTCTGGCCTTTTCTGCCTCCTGCTTTTGTCTACCTGCCTTCCCTCTTATCTCATCTTCTGCTGTTGGAACGTACTTTCCTCTCCCTCCTACCTAATCACAATGCAGAAAGCTGTGTGCTCCCCTGGTCTCCGCACTTCTGGGGTAACTTTGATTACTGATGGATAACACATAGCTATTCAACTCATGGTGTTGAAGAGACTTGCAAACAAATAGGGGTTTTTAAAAGGAAGACATCAAAATAGCTTTTTCTAGATTTAATCATTCAAGGTAAAGAAGTTTAAACTTCTAGTCTGTACTTTATTAACAAACCTATCTCAAATACTACTTTTCTATCTATAATTCATATATACATTCAATGTGTACTGTGAGATAAAAGTTTTAAAAATGTCATGTAGCTTCAAGTAATTGGGGCTCCTTGGAATCTCGTTTCTCAAACTTAATTCGTCCCAGAAGGTTGTTCAAGAAGCAATTTGTTTGAACTCTGAATCATTTCTTTCCCCCATTAGAAATAATATAAATTGAATTAATCCGTTCCAGACCCCCAAATGACTTCCTGTTTTCACCTTTCTTATATACAGTACATGACTAATATACTGTTTAAGCTATAAATATATACTTCTTTTCTGAAATTTATTGAACCACCCCCTACTAGCCTTAACTGAATTTTTCATATGTCACTGTCTCCAAAATACTATCACACTATCACCTGCTAACAGGCTGTTCTTTTATCCAATCAACAACAGTTTTTCTACCTATTCAATTGCCTGGAATTATTGTTTTGTGAACACTTTCATACCCTTAGCAACATTAGCACTCTTGATGGCCTCTTTATGTTTTAAAATGTGTATATTAAAAATTTTGAAAAAAAGAGATAAAAAAAAAAAAAAAAAAAAAAAAAAAAAAAAAAGAAAGCATCCTCTCCTTTGTTTTTAAGCAAACATGAAGGGGTTGTCAGGTTGAAAGCTGAAGTTTTGGTTGACAACCAAGACATTTTTTTCTGTAAACAACCTGGTCGAGAACCGAATTGTTCGAGATGTTTGATTGTACTCATTTCTGTGGCTGGCAGGCTGGTCGAATGAACGAGGAAATGTGGAATGATGAAGAATATCACAACCAGGGAAGGCAGGGGCCAGTGCCATAGAGCACATTCCTCAGCTGAGGAATCTAATTTAAACTCTCAACAAAATGTCACCATCCTAAAATAAAAGCAGGATACTTCAGATCTGCTAGTCAGTTTCAAAACTTTCAGCAGTACAAGCCACAGAAAAAAACATCCTAAATTGGGACATGTGCTCCAGACTTCAAGGAGGGGAGCAGCTTAATTGCAAATTCAAGAAACTAGATACAGTGTTAGAAAGTTCATCCCATTCTCCAATATTCTCCAATTGCAAAACTCGGGGACCGTGCCCATCCTTTAAGATCTCCTTGGACATACAAATCAACTAGCAAACACTTGCTCTGTCGTCCTGCAGGCTGCCTGTCCTCAATAGCTATTTAAGAGAAGGGAGATGGCTCAGTGGTTGAGCATGGACCTAAGAACCAGGAGGTCACAGTTCGATTCCCAGTCAGGGCACATGCCTGGGTTATGGGCTCAATTCCCAGTAGGAAGCGTGCAGGGCAGGAGGCAGCCAATCCATGATTCTCTCTCATCATTGATGTTTCTCTCTCTCTCTCTCCTTCTCTCTTCCTCTCTGAAATCAATAAAAACGTTGTTTTAAGAGAAGGGGTGCGGGGAGCCACCTTTCTAGGAGGTAAATGCTCCCTGCAGTCTAAGGTTCACCAGAATGTCTTCAAAGTGAAGAAACATGGAAGGGCTGGCTGAGCCCGTAGGTTAGGGCAGCTTGGTGACAAGGCTCGCTGCTGGTCACAGTGACATCTTTCTGAGCCATCCTGGACATGTTTGTTCTCTCTCTTCTGTTTTTGGAGGGTTTTGTTGTTGTCGTTTCATTTTAAACTAACTCACGGGCTTAACAGGTAAAACACGAGGCAGTCCTCCTCCACCCAAAACCCAGGCAGCTGCTGCCAGAGATTCTACTCGCCTCATAATCACGCAGAGGATCAGGAGGGCGAGGGCGTAGTATTTCCTCCGGAAGGGCCAGTCCCTCCTCTGTCGTTGGTGCATTTCTCCGCCGCACTTGTTGAAGCAGCGGCACACACCGAAGCAGAGCCCCACCAGCGGCATGAGGATGACAAAGAGCAGTCCCAGGACAACACCAAGAAGAATCCCGATCTCGTACTGGATGATCTGCAAGTCAAGCAGAAGAATCAGCATGTGCCGAACCCAGAACAAGGGGAACAGCGCCCCCGTGAACGCAATTCATTTTCTTGAGCCTGTTTGACACTGAGCACATATTCCCACTTTGAAGCTCCTCTTGAAATAGAGGCAGCAGAGATTTGAGCGACGCGAACACGAGGTCTATCCTCTTTCAACTCCTGAGAAAACGTCCAAATACAGGGTCAAGTTGCAAATGGTTTTATTTCAACCCCGACATAGTGTTTTTAAGTGGTGCACCAATGTTGGCAGAAGTGCTTGCGTAATGAAGACATATAGGGTGTTTTTTAACCAGAAAAATAGGAACAGTGGAAGTTATCAAGGATTCAAAGCAGTTAGATTGAATCAATTACTGTCAAGTTCATGGTCAGTTACAAAAGAAGCTGGAATACACTGAAATTTAGAAAACAGGACCAGACTTTCTGAGCCAGATGTGGCCACTCAGTTTCTCCACCCACACACTGGGAATAACATACTTTGTATGGTCATCGTGACCATTGTGGGTAATGTCGGAGTCGCAATAACGTGCCAAGTGCAGTACCAGGCATGGGGTGGACACCCACTGAGTGGCACTGAGAGCCAGTGAGGTTGGGCACGGCTGCCTGGGTCTCAGACAGTTACTAAATGCCTAGGTGCTTAGCAACTGGCACGAATTCTAGATACAAGCATGTGACCAAACTATGTTTCCATAATCACTCCTGATTTTATTCTAGGAGACATAAAAATTTGTGCAACTGCATCACGAAACTTCATCTCATTCCAACTCACATGCAGTTACGTTTTCCATAATACAAGACATTTTTAAAGAATGGCAGAAAAATTATAGGTTGGCAGTTTGCAACTAAGGGGCCAGCTAGCCACTTAGCAACAGGTTCTAGAGCCAAGCTGAGCCAAGTGAATGAAACGTAAGTGTTGGTCCCAGGAACCAACGTGATGTTTTTAGAGAGAAGGCTGAGCTTGGAGTCAGAAGACGGGCCTTCAATCCCGGCAGGGGCGTCTGGTTCCCTGAACTGGAAAGCGTTAGAGTAGCACCGACCCCATAGTACAGTGTGAGGGACACACAGTTAATGGTTTGATGGGAAAACAACTAGCCAACTGCCCAGCATGCAGCAAATACTCAACTCCTATTGGTTAACTCTGGGGGCAAATGCTTAAGAGTATTTATTAAGTCAAGGGCACATGGCACTCGAATATTTTCTATTTAGATATTGAGGTTAGGATGCTAAACGAAAAAAAAAAGTGGCAAAATTTTGCCACATTCATCAAGTACCTGGTCCTAATTAAACTAAGGCCCATGACAGGGGGAGTCTTCACTGGCTCCCTTGAGGATTGACATCATTAGCCAATTGCGAAACCAACCCCAAACTCTTATTTATACCTTTTGCTATAGTTTCTCAGCAAATATTCTAAATTACTTACTATTTTTCAAGGAATTTATAATCCTTTCTGAGTCTTCAGAAACACTGAACCCAAACCCAGGAGAGAAAGTGTATTGACATGTTTTAAATATCCTCTCCTTAGCTCCAAACACAAATTTTATCTTTGATACACAAGCTGTCCTATGTTACTAAATATTAGGTCAGGCAGCATAAGGACAGAGGTCATTTCATGGGCCTCGATGGCATTCTGAAACATCAGGATCTCTGGGGCGCTTTGGGAACTGCCGTGAAGGGAAGATCGGGACCCGAATTTGCCAAGATGGGTCACTTTTCTCCCCTGAACTACTACAACGGAAGGACGATTAAAGACGATGGCCGAGACCAAAGTGAAACCAATCATCTAAAGACCATTATGGTGGACATGACAGTGAAGGAGAGGAAGTTCTGGGAAAAGCATTACATTGACCCAACTCGCTGGCTTTAGACAGAGCAATGGGGACGAGCAGACGAGGACTTTACCTGCAGAGTCAACACCACGCTTTCTGGCTGTGGAGGCCACAGCAGTGGAGTTTGTGGGAGGCGGAGGCAGCGTGCATCAAGAAAACAGAAAAAGTTGTATGAGAGGTCAGCTGCAGAGAAAAGTCGGGTGAGAGAAAGACCAACACAAGGCAGACATAGAAACCTTGAGTGCTTGTTGGAGGCAGAGTGCTTTGGTAGAATCAAGTTCTGGAACTTACATTTGAATTTCTGGGAAGGTTTTGAATAGGTACACTGATCAGGTATGGAGAGGGGACTGGGAAGGAAAGATGCAATTGCTTAACACACTAACCATGTGGCCTTCGTAAAATAGAGAAGTGGCAGCTGCCTATAGCCCCAGAGCCAAAGGCACCACCTCCCAAAGTATCCTTTCTAAAATAAAAACCCAATGGTATCATTGCCTCGCCTAATAGCATCCCGTGGGCCTCACTGTGTTTAAATCAGACTTCTTAATGTGGCCCAATAGGGTTACCCCTGGCTTCATGGCCCCATTCGCCCCGACCACTGCAGTCTCCAGAAAGCACCTGCTCTCTCCCCTTCCTCATTCTGGGCTCCCTCCTGTTGCCTCCTTGTCCAGAATATCTTTCCCACTATGCTTCCCCCCCAAAACCAAACATCCTTTGTTGTATGTTCCTCCTCATCGAGATAGACTGGGATTGCTGCCCATCTCCTTCATGCTGCCTTAGAGTCCTTTACTTGCCCTCTCACAGCACTCACTCCACTTGGGGTGACTGGCTGTACGTTCAGGGGCATGGAGAACAATGACAGCCACACTTGCCATCCTCTCCCCAGTGCCCAGCCCTGGACCTGGCATATAATAGTTGCCTATTCAGAATCAGATAAATGATGAGTTGAGGGACTAGGAGCCACTGCCTAAGACCAACGATTTCTAAACGGTGGCCCAGAGATAGGGACTGGTCAGCGATGAAGATGGACCAACCCTCAGGGAAGTCAAAAAATAAAGATGTGATGAGTTTCCCATAAAGCAAAATTCACTCAATTTGTAAGACTATCTTTTTTTTGGGGGGGGGGGG